AGTCCGAGTCCATCACTTATCAGGCAAGCACATTTTTTAACCTATAAAACTTTTTATTTTTTAATTGATTTGAGGTTCTTATGGTAAAATATTTTTTATTTAACTTTCGCTTTTTAATTATTTTGTAAAAAGCGTTGACAAGCTCCTACTCATGTTTTCATTTTTTAACAGATATTCGAGCTAGTCAACAAAAAAAAATATTTACGAATTGGATTAACGCACAGTTGGAATTGGCTGATCAAAATGACTTTGAGGAACCACTACTAGGTACTTTCCTACAAGGTGGCGTTAATGCTGACAATGTCGAAGCTCGTCTTGCCACAATCTTTAAAGACGGTGAATCACTTTATCGGGTTAAAGATCTTTACAAAGATCTTTCTGATGGGCGAGTACTTTTGCGGCTTCTGGAGTTTTATACTGGCAGAAAAGTAGGTCTATATTACTAGAAATTTGACATAATATCTAATTTATGTGAACCATCTCTAAACTTCGTTAAGCCTTCTATTCTTTTTCGCCCACATTTGCATGTAACTTTCATTTTTTGTATTTGAGCCATCGGGAAATACTAAGCATATTGATTGTGAAGATTGATCCTATTCTGACAAAACGAACATTTTTTTCGTAGGGTTATGCATTTTATTAAAGTCAACGTCTTATGAGCGTTTTTGCACTTTGTTTTATGATTATTCCAGTTGGTTAAAAGCATCAGTCTTTGAAAATATTATATTTGCAAAATACATCCGAAGGAGACACCTAATGTTGTCCCGGAACTTTGGTTTCGAAATGATCAATTATATTATCTGTGAAAACTTTAAACTTCTATAGTAATTGCTTCGATCTTTTCACTTCTCCGGCTAACGATTTCTAAGAGATAATATGCAATAAAAATAGTGAAATTGCTAAGTTTACCCATGCAATTTATTGCTGTCATTTCCTCGTTCCACTTAATTTGAAAGTCGCATTTTAAAATCACAGTAATGCATGGCCACTTACGCCCACTAAACTGTCCACTGCGTCAGTAGGTTCTGTCCGCCTTTGCCAAAACAGGCAGCATCATTTGCTCCCTAAACAATATGGTCAGCAAAGTTCATTATCAACACCCTGTCATAAATATGAAGTGTATTAGCATAATACGCTTGATATAAAGCACTTCCAGTCTTACCACCTTAGGGTGGAAGCCCATTCTACACTGTTAGTAATAAAATTGTCTTGATTATAAAAAAGGTAAGTTTTTTGGTACAGTCCAATGGAATGCATTCTTATTGTCTAGGCCGAAAGAGATGAAGGATAAATATTGCCAGAGCTTATCACTTAGACGCAAGTGTTACCATGCGGTTATTAGTAAAGCCTTAAATATCCGACGATTTCTTTCTCAATTTCATATAATATGTAAAGGTTCTTTGTCCTTAAAGAATGAGGCGTGGGTGAGCGATTTTTGGACGAAGTTATTACTCTGTTTTGATGTTTTACATTCAATACATATATTATTCGATTGTTATTCATAAAGCTGTTTTACGATATTTTAAAATGTTTATTCCAAAAGACAGTTTTTCTTCAACACTGTCCCAAGTCGTTCACACGGCTTTTATCTCAATGATTAATTGAGCTGCTCGCATTATCCCTTTTGGTAGATCTCATTGTCGCGCGGAACGATGCGTGTTCACTCCATAGAAAATGTCGGCAAGGCTCTGGATCAAATGAAGCAGATGAACATACATCCAGAAAATATCGGGCCTACCGATATAGTGGATGGAAATGTTCATCTCATTCTTGGTCTCATCTGGATTTTCATTCTCAACTTTCAGGTATCCAACTCTTCCATGTAGTGTGTGTTAATATCACACTGTGAAAGAAAAACAGGCTTCAAATCCTTATTAAGTCAATGCATTTTAAGCTTCTCTTTTAAATGAATGATTATTTAAATTCTGTAAAATATAAACTAATAACTATTAGTTTACCATTTAAAACTAGACCTCAGTCGGTTTACATACCTTGTTCTAGTTGTTTGTTTAGGAAAATGAGAGTTCTAATGTCACCAACTAAAAAAAATATTTCCAACTAAGAAAGAGGCGTTGAAGTACCTTTAGTGCGTTGTCTGTAATAAGGGAAATTAAATTATGTGACAACTTATCTGTATACGTGGTGCCGGCACGCAAATCGCAAAATTCATTGCTGACATTTTAACTGCCTTGGCTCTTAAAACAAATAAATAAAATTTTTCAACAAAATTTTTTGCCAAAATAGTAAGTGATTCTTCTCAAATACTGTAAAGGCTACAAAGAGTGCAAC